ATAAACGTCCGAATAATTTATCATAATAATTGATGCAACGAGTAAACATCATTATCAATTATCAAGCAATGTAATCACTTTAGCATTTTTCCTCATTTACGAGAAATTATAGATTACCTTACCCAAACAGAGAATGCGGAAAACATTTGAAGGCCTAGATGAATATTTCACTAAATCATGCTCATTTTTGGTACCATGTGGAAAATAGGGAAGGAATTAGTGAAGTGCTACAAATTGTACGTGAAGATGGTATGATATATGCAATAGATTATGAATGCCCACTGTGGCTGATGTATGGGTTGGTAGATGAGCCTCATGTTTTCTGTGGTCTTTTGATATTTCTTTGGATTTTGTCGGTTAAGTGTAATTGTATGGGTGGTGGATTTTCTTTTTCACTAAGTTAAAAATTTTCTTTAAGATGACAACGTGAAATTGAGGTATAAGTTCATGTGACATTTCTACAAAAACGAAAGAAAATGTGAAAGTGCAATAGAAGCTCTTTACGTTGCAGAAACAGACGTGTTTTCTTTATTGTTTTATGGAATTTCATTTTATTTATTTATTTTACTATTGTTGTGCTTAGGCCTGGGCTTTGTCTGGGTTGGTTCGGTTTTGGGTTCAACTCGAAGCCGAACTGAAGGCTTCGGCTTAGCTATTTTTGAAACCGTACACCGAACCATAACCAGTGAAACCGACCATTCTGGCTAACCGGAGTTTGTGGTTTGGTTTGGTTCGGTTTTGGGTTTAGGCTGAAGAGAGAGAGCAAGAAGAAAGCTGGGGAAAAAATCGATAGAGGGAGAGATTGAGATAGGGGAGAAAGGAAGAAGAAAAAGGAAAAAAAATAGGAAAAGAAGAAGACAGACAGCATGAGGAAGAATGAGAAGAAGGAAGAGGAGAGAGAGCGATGGAAAACAATAGAAAGAAGAGAGAGCATGGAAAAAAAATAGAAAAAAGATAGAGATATGAGAGAAGAGGAAAAAATTGCAGAGACTGAGGAAGAAAAGAAAGAAAGATGGAGAGAAGAAGGAAAAAGAAATAAAAAAGAGAGAGGGAGAGATAAAGAGATGGACAGTGACGGAAAGAGTAAGAAGAAGATGGAAAAACAATAAAAATTGAAGAGATTAGGAAAGGTGAGATATTAGGAGAAGAAAAAGAATAAAAAAATACAAAAGAAAGAAAAACAACATTAATTTCGGCATAGTTGCAGCAGTGCATGATGGTCATGTCCACTTGTATGCTCTCATGTTTTTTTATAATATTTATTATTCTGAGTAACTAATTATATATCATATTTTTGGAAAGATTACACATGAAAGTTGTTTGCTCCAGTGGAAAGCAAGACCGATTCTTACATGGAGGTGTGGGGTTCAAACCCCTTTGTTGCAAAATATTTTTGTAATGTTTGGCTTGCCAATAATAACAGTCCGGTTTGGGTAAACCGGTTCATTTAAAATCTCAAACTGTAAACCGGACCGGACTGACCAGTTCAGTTCGATTTGAACCTGATATTAAATAATTAATAAATAAATAACCGAACCAAACCAACCTGATCGATTTAGTTCGGTTCGAACACTTTCCACTGTCTTCTAAAATCATATCCAACCCATCAATTTCAACCAATGGGTTTTCAAGGTTATTTGGAATGGGATTGAGGTCAACGTTCTTCTCACCTTCTCTTCTCTAAAACCCAGAGACCCATTTCGTTCTTCTCACCTTCTCTTCTCTGTAACCTAAATGAGGCATGGGTACATATTGGTAGTTCGCGCATGACCATCACTTTTGTTGGGCCAACATGAACACTACTCATCCCTACTGTCTAGACACGCCTATATAACCTGTATTTTTAAATGATCTCAAATAAATTTTTAGAATTTTTACAAGTTTTGCATCAACCAAAATTGATAAATATTTGTGTTTGTGTGTTCTTATTTTGTAGGCCAAGAAGTATAGATCTGATAAACTAGCATTAATTTCTTCGTTTTACTCTCTGAAGCTTTCCTTCTAGTCCTCCCCTATGGCAGCCTTATCATTATCAGAATCCTCCTCAGTGTAGTATGATCCCTAGGAATTGGCTAGTCCTTAGGATATGGCATATAGGAATTGTCATGCCCCTCAAAATGACTGTAAGAAAAGTCACAGCACGAACTCCCCTCTGTAAGAAGAGAAATGCGACAGTTGCTATAAAGAAATTATCAAAATTATATGGCCACAAAATAGTCAAAACCAACAATGGAAGAAAGAAAAACTTCCTCAAAATTCATGAATTTAATTTCCTCCAATATTTTCACTCAATATAGAAAATAATATCATAATGTAGATTTAGAAAACTAATGAACCGTGTCAAATATAGACAATACATCTTTTCAACTCATCTTTATATATGGCTTAATTTTAATTTTCAAGTGAGCAAAAATTGAAATGACACAAAATATTCATTTCCAGTGTCAGCAAAATAATTGTGATTGTCAAACTGATTGTATTTCATAACAAAAGTGTCTAAGAAAATCCTACAAATAATTTTGCACCTCACATGTCCCCCTTATCTCTTCCTATCTCTCTCCTCACGTGACTCACATGAGGAAATAGATAGAAAGAAAGCGGAGACGTGCAACGGGAGCATAGAACTTATATTCCAAATGCTCAAGGAAACTGGACAAAAAAGCATTTTATACAAACAAGCATCCTCTTGAGTTAAAATTCAACAATCATTATATTTGGCAAGCAAATCCACACCGTCTGCTGCATGCAAATCATATAACTCTCAAATATATACCAGTAACGATAACACCTCAGTTCTTCATCCTTGTATTCTCTAATAGCCCCATTCATCGCATCAATATTTGGTCCCCTGCATCGATTCATAAAAGTGCACGGACCTTACTAGAAGAAAGATTAGAACAGAAATGGCTGAAGCTCCATTGCAAGTGGTTTCTGTATGAACAATTCCCAAGGGAAACAAACCAAAATGGCATGCAAGATGATGCAAAAAGTCATGGAGACACTAACCTGCAAATAGAAATCGATTTAATTATCCACAGCGGGTGAAAGCAACGGTTTATTTGAGAAGAATGCTTCGAAATTCCCTGCTACTAGTTCACACAAAGCCATGAAACATTCTGATGTGTAGGTAGCATAATGTGGCGACAGTACAACATTGTCCAATGCGAAGAGCTCTTGAGGAACTTCAGGCTCATCCTCAAACACATCCAAACCAGCACCTCCAATCTCTCCTTTCACCAAACACCGCACCATTTCCTTCTCATCGATTACAGCTCCGCGTCCTATGTTTACAATCACGCCATCTCTTCCCAGCGCTAACAAGACTTTCTTGTTGATCATGTGGTGGGTTTCAGCAGTCAATGCACAACAAATGACAAGGGCGTCACTGTTAGCAGCAAGTTCACTGATATCAGAATAGAAAGGGTATGAAACGAATGGCTTTTCCGTCCTTGAGTTGTACAATATGTTGCAGCCAAAGGCCTCAAGTCTTTTGGCAACTTCTAAGCCAATATTTCCCAATCCGACAATCCCAACTCGTTTGCCTCCTATCTGGCATTTCCAATCATAAAAACCACTTTAATTTACTTTAAACAAAAGAGGATTTCAATTATCTGTTGACAAATTTCAACGCATAACATGATCATTAAGTGGTAAAGAACTGACGTTGTTAAAATTAATTGAACACCAGAATAGCTCCCAAAAATCATTTTTGTTAAAAGATATTTAATCAAACACTACATTTGTGATTGTTTTCATCTAAACATTGAAAGGGAACGCATAATTAGGAACAACTGATTTCAACCATAACCAAAGAAAACAAGCAAAACCCAGAAAAGATTCAGGCATGTGAGCTAGAAATGAATGTTGCTGACCTTAGAACCGAGAGCATAGTCTCCTCTGGTAGCCCAAAGCCCGTCTCTGACATACCGATCCCCAGCCGAAATCTTTCTCATGACATCAAGAAGCAGCCCCACAGCCATATCAGCAACATCCTCAGTGAAGATTTTAGGGGTACTGGCAATGGCAACACCGCGGCTTCGACACTCGGCTAAGTCCACATGGTCAAGGCCAGCGCTGGTGGTGACAATGACCTTCAAGGAGGGCAGCATTTGTAGGATATTGGCAGTGATGGTTGGTCCATTGGCAGAGGACAACAAGGCCTGAACAGAGCCTGCATGTGTAGCCAAGAACTGGTCTTGAGGGAGAGGAGAGTCCCAAGCTTTGAGGAAGTTGAACTTGTGGGAGTAGTTGGACTCCAAGAAAGTGAAGCACCCAGGTGGGAGAAGTACCAGAACTTGTGGGAGTTCACTGTGATTTCCATTAAGTGCCATTGGATTGGCTTCTTGTTCTTGAGACTTGAGAATTGTTGAGGTGGAGATAGGTTTCAGAAGTGGCAATTGAGAAATTGAGAAATTGAGAAACAATTTTGATTATCTATGGAGTATGGACCCACAACTGTCAACTGGTAGATGCTTTACCTGCTTCCTTCGACAAAACGGCATCCAGATGTTTCGTATGTATATACGAGATTTTTCCTATCAATTCAGCCATACATACAGGCAACTCTCAGTATAGAGAACGGGTGAATTTGTACCCAGTTTTCAATTTGCCCTTGAATTTGTTGGTTGCTGGTTGGAGATGGCTTCTGGGGTGGTGGTTGCGTGGGTCAGGATGGATGTGTGGGTCGGAGTGGTGGCTTCATGGGTTGGGGTTAGGTGGCTGCTGCCTGAAACTTAGGAAGAGGAAGGGGAGAGATAAGGTTCAGGAATGAACAATTGCGTCCTCAAACTTGACGGAGAAGTGGATGAAATATTAGGAAATTTGCCGATAGGGGGACACTGGCTAAATAAAATAGTTTAGACTCTTTTGTTTTTTTTTTTCAAACATCCGTAGGGCACATTCAAAATTGAGTACAAGTTCAGAGAGTGCAACAGCTTACTCTCATCATTTTCTGTAGTAGCTTTAGAATAACATACCATTGCATCAAACCTCTTGGGATATCACGAGAACAAAATTTATATAAACAAAAATGTTTTTTTTTTTTTTTACAATGAGCAACATTTAAATAAAGCCTAAGACATTAAACAAGCTATAAACATCACAGAAAGATGGAAAATGGGGCACTCCAGTACTTTACAATCTTAGTTTATTTCATTCACCATAGCTGCTTCACCAAAATTATACTCCACTAGAAAACAATTAAACACCAGGAACGTAGGGTTCAAAGAGCTTCACACAAGGATTTGCATCATATTGCATGATCTCGGCTGCACGTTCAAATTCCTCCCTTAAAACTTTTATGCTGTACTTGTCCACCACTCGACCCAGGTCATGGGATATCTCGAAAGGATCCTCTATGCATATCAAATGCCGATCATTCCCAATCCTCCTTGTCCAGTCTTTTTCCCGCTTGCTGAACAAATTAACATCATAGCTAAGTTCTTTTTCTTTGGGGGGTGTCAAATAATTTTCATGGTAAGATATGCAAATGTTCTCAAAATACTTAGAATATTCCAGTGATGACAATTTAACTGTCCTTCCATTCAATACACACTTAAAAGAAAGAAACTGAACTGGTTAAGTAATAATTATATAATGAATCAATATTTTAAGTTACTTATCTTAATAAAACATAACAGATTCCATATCTCACCTGAGTATGCTTCCTGTACGAACAGATATGACAGAATTTGCATAATCATGACCATATGCCCAGTAATTGAAAAATGCCCACACCAGTTTAGCAATAGGTTCCCTGTTATGGGATCCAAAATCTCGAAGTTTGTCTACTTGATCAAAGAAAGCACATTTGATGTTCTCAACAGTGACAGAGTATGTTGACTGCATTTCCTGAAAGAGAACAGAGGTAGTGCTTAAACACACAAATAGAACGACACTGAATATGACGTCCATATATGCCTTGCATGCCTCTCGTTGAAGCAAACTAGGAAGACATACCTGTAAGCAGGGAAGAACAGCAGGTCTACGCTGTTGTAAGAAATGAATGCACATCAAAACATACCTGAAAAAGAGAAGGCAAACATTTAGATTTTCATGGTAAAGGGAACAAAAGTATCTCCCAACCTTGTGTTGCTAGTGTTGGGAAGGTGAGATTCAAAAGTTAACTTACGCATAGCTGGATAGGGTTCCTTGGTAAGTTTCATTCACTCCTCTTGACTTGGCCCAATGTTTCACAATAAAAGCCAACTGCCGTAATCTTGCATCTATTTTTGCATAATCACGAAGAAGCTTTGTATTTATAACAGCCAAAACATTGTTGATGCATATGTCACAGGAGATACCAGTGACAGGATCCATAAGCTTTACTATGGGAACCCTAGCACGTGTCAACGCCTGAAACAAACAGGAATATGCATAAAGTGGTTATATAAAACTCTTAAGAGAATTAAATCACCAAAAATTGTGTTGCCCAGATAGAAAGGGTTATGCATAAGGTGGTATATATTCATACGTTGTTTCACAAGATCCCTAAAGTAAAACTTAGATGTATGATAACTGCATCGACATGCGGGATACAGAATTGCATTTCATGAACGCCTTGTTACTAATAAGCCAAAAAGCTACCTACACATTTCCTGGATTTAACATTCAAAGATAGAGAATGTCACTTAAAGATTGAAAAAAAAAAGGTGGGGAAGAAGGCTCAATCTTAAGCACACATGTGATAAAGATTTGAAGTCTTGGAGGTTTAAACAGCATTCCTTGAAATTCATGTGGACAAGATATGTGAATCCAACACATAATGCCAAGCAAAGCACGAAAAATTTATATTCCACACCCAGTTGACCAATCCCTAATAATCTTTTTCAACTCTTTATACAATTTTTATGGTAATAAGATATTCGTGAGAGTACACAATACCAATAAATTACTAAAGCAAAACCATAGAGCCCTGTTTAACAACGTAACCACTGGATTTTTATCTTCCTCTCCTCTAATATAATGTTTTACAGTTCATTGCACTCAACACTCAATGGGACATTATACAAAAGAATAATACTGCTTACAGAACCATAAGATAAATCTTAAATTGTAATATAACAGCCCTGATTCTTGCATGTAAGATATCAGAGTCTTGCATATTAAGGTCTAATACCATCATGAATATCAGAGTCTTGCATCTTAAAAAGATTCCATGATAAGAGATATAATTTTCTACCACTTCAATATATCAAATCAACCATCAAGTATAAGTGGCCAAACAATATTTTGCACAGGTAAAGCCCTAAGTAGGTAAAAATATTCCCCTTGTGTTTCCCTTATCAACCGAAAGAAGCACAGTTTCCCATATCATTTATGACTCGATGATATAATTCAGCTTTTGTTTTTCTGTGCTATCAGAGGGTAATTTTTTGTCAGAAAGTTAAAATTTATGCCGTTGAAGAATTTTTTATACCCAAAACTCTCATTGAGAAAAGCACATCAGTCAATACAATGACCAAAACATTGCAAGTAGCATCCATCAACATTTGCCAATGCCCAAATGTAAAGTTTTATCTATCACATAAATTCATGAGGAGAGGCACTCTGATTCACCTGCACATTCTGTAGATTGTCTGATTGCAAAAGATCTGCCAACCTTAATAAGATCTCAGACTTCTTGTCATCTGCCACATCAATTGCAAGACAAAGATCAATATCACTTTTAGAAACTCCAAATGAGTTGCCACACGACCCATAGACATACAGCTGAGCTTCAGGCCATTCCTTGGTTATTAATTTCTCTAATAATGTAAATAATTGATTCTGCTTAGCCTTCTCTTCCTCAGTTGGTATCAAGGAATCATAAATTGCAAGAAAAGGAGCATTTAGCCTGTCTATGTCAAAGCGACATTGCATCTGTCTTCTGAAGATTCTCATTCTTTGGTTAAGTGGGTGTTGTCCTCTGTTATCTGATCTTGAATCCTGATAATGAAAACTATAAGTAACTCATATCTAAACCATTTGTTGCTTTGAATAATGAACGAACACAAACACACACAAATGATGGCTTCTTATAAGGACCTGACTTGAGAATTGGTGTCACACCATGTGGTTAGATATGGATAGCTAACATATAGTGTAGATGAGTGTGAGATGCTTCTCAAAAACGATAATCAAGTGAAGTCCCAACAAACTCTCCATTCATTACATAATTTTCTCTTGTGCGAAAGAGTTTGGTATAACCCAGACCGCATATTCAGACATGACTTCACTTTACCAATCGTTCTGATTAACAGTCTGACAACAAAAAATTACTCTGCTTGTGTATCTCCATGTATAACTATGCTTGCTATGGAATGATAGGTATCATTTGCAGAAATTTATTAACTTGCAGAGCAATTACAAATTCACCAAAACAAAAAAGCTTTGAAACAAGCGTCAAGCATAGATTTAACATAGGTAAGCATTAACTTGAATCCAAACAAACAAATTCACTTCATGAATTCTCATAGCATTCAAAACCGTTGTATGTATCGTAAATTCATAATAGAAAGGAAAATAAAAAAAGGTTCAACCTTTTCGCGCGAATTATGGTGTTGCTTCGCCTCATTCTTGTCATCCTCCTCATTCTTGTCATCCTTTTCATGCTGCAAATTCATCATCGACTTTTCAATCTCTGAAGCTGAAGCCGAATGAAGATTGGCGCCAGTGGGCGGACCAGGATCATCAAGCTGTGCACTGAACCCCAATCCACGAGCCCCATTGCCTCGAATTCGACTGTCTTCACTTGCCAATCTTCTCACTCTCTCATCCTCAAAAGAAGCATCCCGGTTCCTCACAAATTCACTTGAACTCTGCCTTTCCCGATCCACATTGTGCTCAAAGTCTCTCCTTCTACTCCCAGAATCCCAATTCCCTCCTCCTCTCGAATTGTTCCCAAACCCAGGCGGTGGAGCATTCCTCTGAAATTGCTTTCCCCTTCCACCTCCACCTCCACCTCCACCTCCACCTCCACCTCCACCTCCGCCCCGTCGTTCCTGCTCCCGAGAATTGAAAGTATCAGGATTTCCATGCCGAAACTCATTCGAAGTGGAAGAATTGTTCGGATTCAAATTGAGACTCCGGTCGAAGCCATTGCTGAGATTGGAAACCTCAGAGGATGTGTTGGCATTCACTGAAGGCTCGGGATTTCGGATAATATCGCTGGGCAAGTAACTAAACTTGAGCTTCTGCTGCTCTTGGTGCTGCTGTTTCAGCTGGGCAAGGTTTTGGCTTTGGAGGGCATTATTGCTCGGACTCTGAAACCCTACTAGATTTCTCAAATCGTCCGTAAGGGCGAGGTTTCCAGGGAACTGATTTCCACCAAATTGGGGAAAGGGATTGGGAGGAGAGGGAGAGGGATAGAGGTTTTGGGGAAACCCTAGAAAGTTGAAAGGAGAAGGAGGAGATTGGGTGGACCAGAGAGAAGAAGAAGAAGGGTTGGGGAGCTGAGAAAGATGATCCCGGCCGTTGGATGATGCCCACGGCGGTATCGGCGGGAAGGGGAGGGTGGGGCCCACGGCTGCCACCGCCGGATCAAGCACCGGAGATTGTTGTTGCTGCTGTTGATGTTGCTGTTGGTGGTGAAGGAGGTGAGGCTTCTGTTGGAGCAAGGACAGAAGGAACTCGCCGCCGTTAGACGCCGGCAGAGGCGGAGCGTCACCTCCACCGCCGGCCATTGGGCTGGGCTGGGCTGAGTATGGGCTTCTTCGAATTTTCTGTTTTTGAGCAGTCGCAGACTCCCAGTCTCTGAAGCGACTCCTCCAAAAAATAGTCTGGAAGTGGGGGAGAGAGAGAGAGAGTGCTTTAAGAAAGAATAATAAAAAGGAGCATGTAAGTGAGAGAGAGAGAGAGGACTGTCGTTTGATGTGTTGATACAGTTTAGTTTTTTTTTTTTTTTTTTTTGGGGGTGCGAATAACAGGTGAATTCATTTAAAATGATGTAGTTAGGAGATGTTTGTTTTAGATTTGAATTCGGAGAATTCCATCTTCTGCATTTAGCATCGGTGCATGTATATGCATTTAGAATAATATCAACTGTTTAATTGATCTAATGAAACTTTTTAAATATTCCACTTCAGCATAATTGTATTAGATTAACAAGTCTGCTTTTGCACTGTATTACTTATCCATCTCTCTCTTCCTCTCTCATGCGGCCTTTCCCCCTTCTCTCCTATAATTATATCATTTCATAATTATGAAAACTTGGAATTTGATTTCCCAAATCAATTCTCCATGTCTCTTACTAATAAATTAGCTTTTTAAATTTATTAATTTGACTTAAATATGACATGTGAATTGGTTCTCATAAAAAGAAAATCACACTAGGTATAGATTATGAATATTAAAATAGCTAATTTGGCTAGGTGTGATTTAATTTATGCTCCTGGGTTCGTCTTCATCTTCTCTTGGGCCCGTTTTAATTTCATCTTGAGTTTAATTTGATGTATTTTCTGTTTGTGGGTTTGATACGATTTGTTTTATTGGTTTCTGCAATTTGGTTGTGGGTTTCATATACGCAAAAGCAAATAAAAAGAATGGAAGAAAAGGGGTTTGATGGGGTGAGGAGGAAGACAGTGGTGTGGGTGGTGCAAAAAGAAGAAAAGAAAGTAACAAGCGAAGAGCAAAAGTGCAGGTGGGGTCGAAGGGGGGAGACTCAGATGAAAAAGTTACAATGATAGAAGGTGCAAGGTGAGAGTTTTTGTCTAACACAATTATATTGACGCGGATTACTTAAAATTCGTTATATTAATCAAGTGGTTGATATTCTTTTAAATGCAGAAACTCGAGATCCTAAATTTGGACCAATTTACAAATATTTGTATTAACATTAACTACTATTTACTATTGTCACGTTTGTGCACTTACTGGTTAACTACGTGCATCATGATTCGTATTATATCAACCAACAATGCAATAACGTTATCTTTTTATCATCTCATTAGCGATGGCGTTATGGGTCTCTTCGGTTGCGGAGAAGATGTGGAGCGGCGATCTTGTTTCTTTGTTTGTTTTAGTATATTATTACTCTTTTGGAGTTTGCTTTATTTCATTTTAATTCTCAGTAACTCTATAGAAGTTTGCTGTGTTTTGTATTTTAATTTTTGGCTGCGATAGGGATTTGCCGTTTCTGCCATTGCGCAGTGGATCTGTATTGCTAATTTGAGTACAGGAGGGGTTTAAGCATTTATTGGTTTAGGCGTAATTCTGGCCAAATCAATTCAATATGTTGTTGTGTTTGGTCACTGAAGATATTGTACCCATTTCAGTACTTTTGCGACTTTGTACTTGTTTTGATCAATAAATATTATTGTTTTTTTCTCAAAAATAATAGCCCTTCAATATTTTATTTATTTATTTATAGCATATTCATTAAATATATTGGTTAGTTTAATTGAAGTATTACTTAGACCATATTCAAACTACATTTTAAATGAAGGGGGGGCCATTTTAGTATGAAAAAAGAGGAAGGATAATATGTAAAACATGAAAAAATTGTGGGAAATTTTGTAGAAGAATGAAAAGAGTAAGGATAATATGTAAAAGGAAGGATGAAAAAATGTGGGAAATTATGTAGAAATGCGATTGGTATTTGTAGAAAAAAAATTATGAATTTTTAAAAACTTTTTCAAAAACAAAATCAACTTTTTGGATAATAATAATAATAATAATAATAATAATAATAACAGTTAGTTGACGGCAACATGCTTAAAATAGTCCACCCATAAATCATGCCAAGTTTGGCCCATAACTTGGCCTCTTCAGCCTGTTGACTAGGTGTGACTCAATGATATGGCAGGTTTAGCCCATTTGTTAAAGATGACTTTTGGGTGTGAAAGGGCTAAATTTGTGAGTTAGCTTGCAACTGAAGATGACCTTATACACCTCATATTGTTAATGTGCTCTCTTCAACATGCAAGTAAAACTTCACAGGATTTATATTTAAGCTATTCTTGACTAAAGCTAAGTTAAATTGTCATTTTGGAAGCTTTTCATTGAAGCAATGTTAAAGTAAACATCGACATTTGTTGAGTTTTTTTAATAACTTTTTCATAAATTTTTGAACTAGTTGTCGTGGTTCTATTCAATAAACAAATATCGAATACACATGAATCTTTTCGTAGCTAGTTAATAAAACTATGTTTGAGGGTTTGACAGCTGATCATTAAAACATAATAGAGGGTTTAGTGACTTCCCATTAGGGTTGGGAAAAAAATTGGTCAACCTAATGAACCGAATTTGAAAAGAAACTGTATTAACAACAACAACAAAATCCAACTTAATCTCAAAAAACGAACCAGATCGTTTTAGATTGATTCCCTTTCCTATTCTTTCCTTGAAAAAATCAGTTAGGCTTAGCTGAATCGGTTGCGTTATTTTACTTATTTATTTATATCAAAATATACTAATAAACTCAATTAATATTCGAATCACATTTTTTTTGAGGATATTTCTTATTGAGAGGGGCAATAATATACTAAACTCACACGTATCATACATATACTAGGACCCGAACCCATGACATATACTCAAGAAGCACTTATCCAAAACCACTATATTAGTGGGTCCTTTACTCGAATCACATTCTTAACCTCAAGTAGTATTTATATGTTTTAGCCCAATTAATACTCAAATGTCTTAATCCAAATTTATAGTCAATTAATGACAACTATAACACTATTTTTTTTTTCTTTTAGGTGAATTATGGTCATTTTCCTTTTCACACCTCCTTTCTTTCTTTTCCACCTCTTTCTTTCTTTTTCTCTTCCTTTTTCTCTTTTGCTCACCTCTAGCTCGATTTGACAATTCAATGGCTCGCCGCCATCACCTCTATGGAGCTTCTCATATTCCTAAATTGAAAAATGGGTGAACCAAACTTAAATCGTATAGGTCTAGTTTGATTCGGTTCCTCTGAAAATTATGCATGAATATCGAATAATGTGTATATTTTCTTTTTTGGGTTCCAATTCGAATGGTAAACAGGGCCTGCATGGATTGTGCCCACATCAACTTCTCATCAAACAAATCCATGCTTAAAAAAACTTAGATCATCCGGTGAATAATTTCCGAACAGTCCTTTTTTTGGTGAACTAGGTCTGAGTGCATACTCGATAACTGAGCTCAATTTATTAGGAAAAAAAAAAACTACGTATGAACCATAAAAACAACAAAAGCTTCCCATAAAATATATAGCAAATCATTTAAAATACCTTGTCTCAAATGGGTTTGATTGTTTGATGAGATAAAATGTAGTTTCTGGTTCGCGTTTGGTATGACAGTGCCATAAATCATTAGTTTCAAAATTCAAGAGGTTTTCTTTAGCCCAAAGAAAACTGTATTTCCTACAAGTCAGGTGTCACCTAATAACCCCATCCCATGGAAAAATTCAACAAGTATAAGCTTTGCTACCCAAATATCATGGTGACAATGCGACAAACCCTCCTACATTTCCGATAAAACAGAATACTCAAACTCACAAAATTTATCAACTCAGTTGCTGCATGCAAAATTCAATATCCCACTGAAAAACAACCCATCAATTTTTTATCAAAATGGAAGCCATTCTTTCTGCTTCTGGTTTCAGCTAGCTAACCACGTACATTACGTACCAATTTACCAAAATGTCCAAATTCGACCCGTACACCCCCCGCCCCGCCCCCCCACGACGCCCACCAACACGGACCCCACCCCGGGAGACCCGGTCGTTTCCAAGGACGTCACGCTCAACCCGGAAACCCGAACTTGGGCCCGAATCTTCCGACCCACCAAACTCCCGTCAAACGACAACACCGTGGCTCGGCTACCCATCATCATCTACTTCCACCACGGCGGCTGGATCCTCCTCTCCGCTGCCGACGCCGCCGCCCACACCAACTGCTCTCAGATCACCTCCGAGGTTCCCGCCATCATCGTCTCCGTCAACTACCGCCTCGCGCCCGAGAGCCGGCTCCCGGCCCAGCACCACGACGCCCTCGACGCGATCCATTGGGTCCGGGCCCAGGCCCAGGACCCCAAGGGCGAGAACTGGATCCGAGACTACGCCGACGTGTCCAGGTGCTACTTGTACGGCTGCGGGTGCGGGGGCAATATCGTCTTTTTCTCCGGGTTGAAAGCGTACCAGCTCCAGCTCGAGCCCCTGAAGATCTCCGGGATTATTATGAACCAGCCCATGTTCGGTGGGGTGCAGAGGACTAATTCAGAGCTGCGATTCGCTACGGACCAGTTGCTTCCGTTGCCTGTGCTGGATCTCATGTGGGACCTGGCTTTGCCGAAGGCGACGGACAGGAACCATCGGTATTGTAATCCGATGGCGGACGAAGTGCACAAAGATTTGATCAAACGGCTGGGACGGTGTTTGGTGATTGGGTTTAGTGGGGACCCCATGATCGATCGGCAGCAGGACTTTGTGACGATGCTGGTGGCTTGTGGGGTCAGGGTTGATGCGCGGTTTGATGATCTTGGGTTCCATAACGTTGACTTTGTTGACTCCAGGCGGGCCGCTGCCGTTTTGAACATTGTTAAGGAGTTTATCATCTAATTTTTAGGTGATTATTTGTGAATGAGAATGTAGGCCGTTTGATAATCATTTTATTTTTTGTATTAGAGTAGAGTATAGAGACAAAAGAGAATGAAAATAAGAATGAGAGTGAAGACAAGATTAAGAGGGAAGATGAGAAATGAGGATAGGAAAGGAGTTACAAAAATGAAAACTGAAACTAAAAACTAAAATCTATTTGAAATTGTTATCACTTTCAAGTTTTTGTTTTCACTTTTGTTTCTCCTTACCTCCCATCCTCACTCCATTCTCACTCTCATGGGCACTAAATTTCGAAATCTTTTTAGCATATCTTATTAGAAATATACTCACAACACAATCAATTTTCGTTCGAATCTGTATTAAATTTAAATTTAATGTAAAGTTTAGTAACTTTATTTTTTAGAAATCGTCATATCATCACGTGGTGTTACAAATACAATCTATTTTATTTAATTCATTCTAACTTATGCTTTTTTAATATAAGAGATAGTCTAAATTACATGGGAGAGATATTTCTCTCTCACACACACATAACTATGATATTAAGGGGATTCGAACCTGAGACCTATGGTATGCAAATTAAGGCCTTTTCCCACTAGGCTATACCCTGGTTATAGTCATTCTAACTTTTTACTTAGGATGGTGTATTCAATTAGGATTTTAATAGATTATTTTGAAGCTTAAAAATCCAGTGGTATTCAATTAAGATTTTTAAGTAATGAATAAAAGTCTGGTGGTATTCAATTAGGATTTCAAAATAGATTGTTTTGAAACTTAAAAATCTAGTGGTATTCAATTAGGATTTTTAAGTACTGAATATAAGTTTGGTGGTATTCAAAAACTTATTGATTTTGAAGTATTTTATTAAATGGTGTATTGTGTGAGATTTTTGAGTAGGTGATATAAATAACAAGCCCCGTGAAAAATCTCATCCTTCTGTGCATGATTCTCACTTCTTTCTATCTCTTCTCTGTTTTTCTTTTATGTGAGACCTTGCAACCTTTGCGTGGCTGTCACCCCCAGCAATCCATCGCCAAACCCTGTCAGAACCTTGTTTCTGAACAAATCAGGTGACCATTTCCAAACGAACGACCTGAGTTGTTGTGGAAGGAACCAACGAGATAGCGAATAACTGCAGTTTGTGCAAAAGATGAGCGATGGGTAGATGGTCCTTCCAAATTGATTACACTACTTGAATGAAAACAATAATAAGAAACAAGAATAATTTTTGAATTACTTTGTGGAGTATAGAGAAAAAAGCGAACCTCCTATGGAAGAAGATGAAAGAAAGCGATTTGGGTATATGAGAGTGGGTATCATGCCCACCAAATGTTCGATATAGTTCCCCAACCAAGATATCGACATTGGTTCAGTGAGCTTTATTAATGTTCTTGATTAATAATAGAAAACAAGATGGGCTCCCCATATTCAAGCCTATTTCGATATTTCACTGTCAAATTTCTAATGCAGAGTAAATCCTTCATTTAAAATATATCATTTTTGTTTCCTCTCTTTTATTTATTTATTTTAAATTTCCTCTCTTTGTTTAAATATTCCTTTTTCTTTTCTTAGTTGGTTATATTACATGATTTTGTTTCATATGAATCCTCCATATAGCAAATCTTTTGATTCGTTAGAGAATACAAAAAAGTCCTAAGTGAATTCAAAATCATTAGTAAAATTTGCAAATCCTACTGAAATCTATTACACTAAAATTTTGTAATTACAATCTATTAAAATCCTAATTGAATACACCCCCCTTAGTCATCACACGTACACCACGACTCACTTTAACCACCATTCCTCTCTCTCTCTCTCTCTTCCTTATGCTTTTCTCCCCATCCGAACTCCCTCGACGATTTTCCCCTTCCTAAACTAATGAAATTTTCATTAATATTAAAAGAGATTATAAAAGAATGTTTAAGCTCTCACAAACCCAAAATCTTGTATGCATCCGAATCGTTTTCACACCAAACGAGTAAAATGAACTTTAGATTCTTGCTCATATGGAATATAAAGTATCGTAAGAGCAACTCCATCCATTTGCCCTTAGCCATGGCAAGAGGGGGAGCTAGGGCAGCCACTATTCACGGGAATAGTGGTGGCCCTTGCAAC